AAAACAGACCGAGAGGAAGGTATGTTTAACGCCGACAATTTTATGAATTCCTACAGCGATGTCATTCGAGATGCTGAAGAAATAAATCGTATGATTAATTTTACTGAGTTAAGTCGAGCTTTGGCATCGCTGAAGGAACTCCTAAAAAATGCTCACACGGGTATGGAAGTGATTAGGGTTATGCTTGGCTTTGAACAAAACCAAGTCACTAAATACAACATAATACGCCAACAAGACTAAATTTTACACCTGACAAATAATGACTAAACTGAACATTGTACTGTGGAACGCCAATGGACTAAGACATAAAATGTCCGAGCTTATACACTTCTTATCAATATACAAAGTTGATATCATGTGCATAAGTGAGACTAAACTTACTGACATAGACCGTATAAAAATTAGACATTTTAGTGTCCACCGACAGGACAGGACACAAAGACGCGGAGGAGGTGTAGCAATATTAGTAAGAGCACGTATACCACATAAGCTATTAAACATTAACTTACAAAGTTCCGTAGAACACATCATTATCAAATTAAGTGATGATACTCATATTGTTGCATGCTATAACCCTCCATCCAACACACTGACTCACAATGACTTAGACAATCTTATTTCTCCTTTCCCTCGAGTATTATTAATGGGTGATTTAAATGCGCGACACATAGCCTGGAAAAATCACGTAAATAACACTAGTGGACTAAACCTATATACATATACGCTTAACAATAATGTTGCGCTCTTACACACCTCTACTCCCACCCATATACCCCTCAATGGCATGACCCCAACGTATATAGATATAGTATTAAATAAAAATATTACTCAATATATCCAACTATCCACAAAAAATGAACTTAACTCCGATCATCTTCCGGTATTTTTCTCAATATCAAGTAATATTAACACACAAAACTATACCAACCTAGCATGGACATACAATAATGCCAACTGGGATCAATATAAAAATCTTATCAATCAAAATCTTCAAATAAACAATAATATAAGCACAGCACAGGACATCAATAGAGAGGTGGAGCGTTTTACTGACTTAATTCAAAACGCTCGAGCTGTCATTGGTAAGAAAGTGCGTATCAGGCCTAGAGAAGACGTCTTACCTGAAGAAATAACGGACCTAATCAAAGCGCGGAACAACCTAAGAAAAATATGGCAAAGACATAGACGACCACAAGATAGAGAGCAATTCAATCTATTGTCCGGACAGATTACTCTAAAAATAGCTCAACACAAAAATAATATCTGGCAAACTAAATTACAAGGCCTAAATATAAGAGACAACTCTCTATGGAAAATGACAAAAATACTGACTAAAACATTTCGGACTATTCCGACATTGGAAGACAATAACATAGAAGCTTTTGACGACAAACAGAAATCCGAGATGTTCGCTAAGCAGTTTGCAACAGTTCACACTCCACGACCAAGTACAACTAACGAACAGCGAGATATTGATGAATGCATTACTAATCTACCTAGATCGGAAATGGATGAACAAGCAAAACGCGACACATATATATCACATAAAAACTTAAAAATGGCAATCAGGAGCTTTTCAAACAATAAAGCGCCTGGTCCAGATGGTATTAGCTACCTACTTCTTAAAAAATTGCCGAGAAAAGCACAAGTGCAGTTGCTGTATTTGATTAATGCTATTGTCCGAATCCAATACTTTCCAATTGCCTGGAAAGAAGCAATAGTAATACCAATATATAAAGTAGGAAAAGATGCAACGAAACCAGGAAGCTACAGGCCTATAGCATTATTGAATACAATGGCAAAAGTATCTGAAAAACTTATATTACACGAACTAAAAAACACGCAGAAAATAACAAAACATTGCCTAGTGAACAATTCGGTTTCAGACGCGGACACAACACCACTCTACTTGCTGCAAGAATGATACACGATGCACAGACGGGATTCCAGCGACAGCAGTCTACTCTAGCCTTATTTCTGGATGTGGAGAAGGCCTTCGATGCTGTCTGGCATGAAGGTCTTCTTTACAAGCTCCTCTTTATACATAATTATCCCCTACATATTGTAAATCTAATAAAATCCTATCTCCAAGGTCGTTACTTCCGAGTGAGGGTGGGCAATTCTCTGTCTTCTCAAAAACTTATACGCGCTGGTGTCCCACAGGGCACAGTAATCGCACCACTACTATACTCTTTATATACCGCTGACATTCCTCGATATCCAAATACAAACTTTGGACAATACGCGGATGACACTGTTTTATATGCTTCCTCTTACTACGTGAATATTGCCAATAAACAACTGAAGTATCACCTATTGAGACTATTGCCTTATTTCGAAAAGTGGAAAATAAAGATCAATTCTACAAAAACGGAACAATTACTTCTTACACAGAAAATTAGTAACGTAACTGTCCATGAACCATTAAAAATTGATGGTACAGCTATTCAGCCAAAATCCTGTGTCAAGTATCTTGGTATTAAAATTGACAAGCGGCTGTCATTCGTATCAAATACGACCTATAGGATACAACAGACTTACGCAGCATTACAGAAATTGTATTCTTTACTGTCACCTAGATCGCATATGACGGTAGATAATAAAATATTGCTTTATAAAACTATACTCAGGCCTACCCTAACATACGCATGCCCAGTATGGATTAAGATCTCAAATAAACAAAGACTGCGACTACAACGGTTACAAAATAAGACACTAAGGAAAATCACCGGATATGACAGATATACTCGTATAGCACATTTACATGAAAATACTGGATTAGAGACAATAAACGAATTTATCGACACAATAGGACAAAAATTTTACAAGACGCAAATTTATAATTCGCCCCTAACATCAAATATAACGCAACAAAGGCAGCACAATGTGATAAATATGAAACATTTGCCGATATACTCACGGCTACCTATATATAGTGAGTAATGTTCTCAGACTCAGAGCATAAATTAAATAATTATAGACGCTGACCACAAAGACACACAAAACGTAACATCAATCACTCCTAAGTTCAGACTACTCTCAACCGTGTACATAAAATATGTACATCAGTTGCAGAATAGACTGAAGACTACTACATCACAACTAAACATACAAACAATAAAATTACCGAAAATCTACTAGATATTACGAAGGTTTTTTAAGAGTTTTTTCCTCCGATTCTACGGATCTGATTTAAGTAACCAACATATTTATTAAAGTAAAACACGTCGGCATTGCCTCTATACTCCCAATGCATGTGTGAGCAAAAGCGGAACATGCAGTCCTCGCCCGGTCAATAAAAGAGCTACCTAGGGCAAACACCGGCCCCCCTGTTCACAGGGTTCGCTTAGGTGGTTGAGTGCTTCGTCAGAAGAACAACATACCATCTTATCATGTTATTTTATTTATTGTATATATTGTATATAGCACCTTTTTATTGTATTTAAGGAGACATTCTCAATAAATGCTTTGAAACTTGAAACTTGAAACTATCGGTTCGTAAGCGAATGGTCCGGGGTTCAAATCTCACGCTGACCAAGACTTTTTTATTTTTTTTTACTTATAGCGTGATCTTATTGCATTGGTTTCACTCTTTTTGGTTGGATTGGTTTAGATATTTGGCGGGTTGGTTAGCGTGGTTATTTGGAGGGTCTTAATTCATTGGTTAGTTGGTTATTTGGTAGGGTTGGTTGGTTTTTACTAATTTATAATTGTTTTTTAAAATTTTTTATCAGTGTCGAGGTTAGTTGCGTTGGTTAAGTTGGTTATTTGGTGGGGTGGATAGCGTTGGTTAGTCCTTCTAAAATTCCTATATTTGATAAAGTCGTCAAGTGCGTCACATCAACGACGTCATACCTATTAACGGCATTTTAGTAAGCTACCGTTTAACGGCAGTTTAAGTACAGCCTAAATAAAAATATATACATATTTCTAGTCTACTGTGAATATTCTTGCAAATTACAAAAGTGAAGGGTGTAAACAAAACAAAGTAAAAAACTACAAGTCAGTTTTGTATGTTTTATTTTTAAATATTTATTTTTATAATATTTTAACAAAACAGCGTTATTTTTTAGGGTAAGTTACTAAACTAATTAAAAAAAATTATCGCTTTTTGCCACTTTTTTAATTTCTTACTCACTACCAGAAAAATGTAAGGACATAATAATAACAAATCAAAATAGCCTTAAAATTATAAAATATGTCTATTAATACTACCAGTCCATTTTTATTGTGAAACAATCTATCTATACCCTTCTCCATCACAATTCACTTCTACAAGTTCACAACTTGCAAACGGCTATTTTGATTTATTTGGCTTAAAAAAACGGTGCAAATTTTTGCTTTTGCTACAAAAGAAAGCGGAAGTATTTTCTTTTAAAAAACACCCAAAGCTTACATTTACAAAAAAAATATTTTGAAAATATAAGACTTATTTTTTTTTCTTATATTACTATTATTATTGTTACCCTACTCTAAACATGAAACATATATTTTTTATATTTTTCTTTAGTGTGTATTAGAAAATTATCGTTTCTCAAGAAATAATAAATACCTATCTAATTTTTTCAGTAAATTTTATATCAACTTCTTCAACAAAGACATTGTTGAAGATTTAATTAAATCCACAGAGTTTTTAAACTATAGAGTTGCCAAGTCACTCGTTCTTTCTTACTTATTTTCATGGCAACAATATTTTCTTATGAATTAAGTTGGGGAGAGTCAGTTTTTAGTTTAAAAAATTTCTGACTTGGCTAACCCCATCTGAATTTCTCTATTGTAAATTAATTATTTTTATTTTCTTGTAATGTATACCGGGTGTTCTTCCAAAGTGGCTCACCCCTATAACTTTTTTATTTTCTCAGAGAAATAAACGAGATTTGCTATGTTAGTATACGACATAAATTAGGATTGATTGACGTATTCAAATGTTTTCGGTCACTTCCTGTTTCATCGGAAATGACTACAGCTTTTGATTTTTAAATGGCACCCTCTTTTACTTTATTCCATAGAAAATGACCCTTATGTCATATACTAACATACCAAATCTCGTTTTTTTTGTCTGAAAAAATAAAAAAGTTATAGGGGTGAGTCACTTTTGAGAAATACCAGGTGTATTGAGGACGATTTTTTTTCACAATGTAAAAATACATAAAGCAAAATTAGTGAACCCTACAGTGTTTTTGTATCATTTAAGTGATCTACTACGAAAATAAAAAATAAATTACATGATTACTGGTGACATTTTTTTGGTTTACATTGTTTTCTAACGGTGATATAACTGTTACTTTCTTCGACTTAAGTATATATGTAATAAAAAAAACCGGATATGTGACGAAAACAAAAAATATACAGGGTGCTCTGTTCCAGGAGCCCTTTGTTCTAGTGGTGTTGATTCAAATTCTCGTCTGCTACTGGTGCCTTTGTCTCTTGGGACTGAATCGAATGCTACAGCAAAAATAAACAGTGTTAAAATAGTCTACATCAAAGCTAGGAACATCTACAATAATTAATAAATACAATAATGCTCTATGCAATATAATAATGTATTTCTCTTAAAAAATCAGTAATAAAAAAGTTATTCATCTTGTAAAGAAAATCCGGGGACGTACTGTATATTAACACAATAATATTATCAGTTCGGCCTCTACGAATATTTTTCTATGTCAAATATAGTTCAGAGTTTTATCGAATGCCGAATATCGCATGTCACTTTGTCCTAAATAGGATTGTACTTTGATGGAACTGGAACTAAAAAACACAAACTAGGCAAATTGAGTTAATGTCATGCCATCTGCACATGGAAAAACAAGGAATAATCTTTCTAAACTTTTCCTCCAAGAAATCGTGGAAAATTTTAAAAAAGGCATATTCCAAATCGATTTTGTTAGTGGGATATGGATGCTTTCCAATATCGTTATTTTGGACTAAGTAAAACGGACATAAATAGAATTGAACCATGAATAATACCTTTTAGATTGATTGGATGAAGGCATATAATTTTAATAAAAGGTATAGAGGTAGCTTGGATCCTACGAAAAAAAATATAAATGGAGTTATGGATATTAAAACCATTTTTAAAGGTCTTTAAAAAGCATTTTCCAATTCAGAGACTATAGTATTTTTAATATTCCCATTTAAATCTCAATTTTTTTAGTAAGGTTTGTAAGTTTACTTAAATTTTACTTATCTACTTGGTGATTTCTGAAAATTTCTGATCATCTCTATTCAAGCTGGTGGCTTACCTGCGATCCAGACAAGGAATGATCCATACTAGACTTTCCAGATTTCTGTTGTTTCAAATACTCTTTGTCGTCGAAGATCTTCTTGTCGCCTCCTGCAGGTTTGTGCTTGACATTGTCCAGAGAACCGACCTTGCTGTTCGCGTGGAGCTCTATTTTCTTATTCTCGATCTAAACAAAACATGTTTCAGTTAGAGAATTGGAAATCACACCATGTTTCATCACGGTTACTAAATATTTGACTCAACTTTCGTTTAGCTGAAATCTGTTATATAAAAAATGAGTTTATACAGGGTTGTTCACCACATACGATACGGAGTATTGTAGCTAAACGATTAGATTTTTACAAATTTTAAGTTTTGGGTTCGTTGAAGGACTATTAGAGCTACAATTTAAAAATATTTTTACAAGATACAGAGTGTCCCAAATAAATAAAAAATATCAAAGTTGTATTTTTTTAAATGGAACACCCTGCATATTATTACATTTTTAGTTTCTACGATTAAAATAAAGGTAAATTTGATAAAGGTTTATCACACTTAAACCTTACCGTTTTTGAAATATTTTTAATTTTGTGAAATTGCAGTCAAAATTTTAAGGCTTCATTTCTCCAAGGGTATCAAAGTTTTTAATACTAAATATTTACTGAAGTTTATTTATTGATCAGTTATTGTGTTGCAATAATAAAAATTATACTACCTTATACAGAGTGTCTAAAATGTTATTTTAAATAATTACTAGCTTTAAACGGCAATAACTTGTTTAATTTAAATCGAACACCCTGTATATTTTATGAGAATCAGATGCACAATTTAATTGTCTATCAAATTGTATTATACCATTTTTTACCTATCTCTTCAAGTTTCCGTAGAAAATGGATTTTCTTGTAATTTTAAATTCATTTATCAATATACCCATGGAATACTGACATTTTAGATTATTTTTAAAGATGTACCAAATTTTTAAAGAGTATTTTTAAAGATGTACCAAATTTTTAAAGAGTACAGATACTAATATTGTCGATATAGTTTGTTTATTTCATTAAAAAAATAAAAAAAAACTGTTTAAATATTTGTTAAAGAGGACCAATTAATATGATTCCAATATTCAAACTACATTAATTGACTGTTTGCGTTGATTAATAATAATTGCTCCAAAAACTAAAAAACTGAATTTTTTATGTGTATTAGACAGTGTGGTAAAAAGTAACACCTTAAAAATGATATTTAATTTTTTGACAAATGCTTATTTGTAACAACAGAGACATTCATTTTTATAACTTATTATTTTATTGATTTCTTATTCAAATCCACATTTATTTAGAATACTTTATTCACGAACATAATGAAGTATGTAATTAATTAGTATTTGGGCGGAAATAATGGTGGTATATTTAATTAATGGTATACTCTTTTATGAAGATTTAAATAGTTTTTTGCTTTTCATTTTGTTAAAAACGATAATATTACTAGCCTGTACATTTTGTACATTTGTTGCTTTAAAAACAATCTAAAATGTCAATATTCCATGGGTATATTGATAAACGAGGTCTAAATTATAAGAATAATATAGACAGGTAAAAAATGGTATAATAAAATTTGATAGACAATTAAATTGTGAATATGATTCACGTAAAATATACAGGGTGTTCCATTTAACTTAAACACGTTATTGCTAAAAATTATTGCTTTAAAGCTAGTAATTATTTAATATAAATTTTTGGACACTCTGTATAAGGTAGGAAAATTTTTATTATTGCAGCACAATATCTGATCAATAAATAATCTTCAGTAAATATTTAGTATTAAAAACTTTGATACCCTTGGAGAAATGAAGCATTAAAATTTTTACTGCAATTTCTTAAAATTGAAAATATTTCAAAAACGGTAAGGTTTAAGTGTGATAAACCTTAATCAAATTTACCTTTATTTCAATCGTAGAATCCAAAAATAGAATAATATACAGGGTGTTCCATTTAAAAAAATACAACTATGATATTTTTTACTTATTTAGGACACTCTGTATCTTGTAAAAATATTTTTAAATTGTATCTCTAATAGTCCTTCAACGAACCCAAAACTTACAATTTGTAAAAATCTAATCGTTTAGCTACAATACTCCGTGTCGTATGTGGTGAACAACCCTGTATCTGATTTCAGCTATTCTAAAATTTAATAAATTTCCTTAGAAAATGAAAACAGCTTATTTCCGCGGGAAAATTTTTGTGTTTATATGTTCAGAAAAATAATAAAAAAAAACGTAAAATGTATTTTTTTATAGCAGATTTCAGTTATTCTAAATTGCGAAATTTGGAAATTACGCATTTCAGCAGGAAATTTTGTGTTTTCCGTGGTTCCCAGTAGGTTTTTAAAGACATTTTTTTTTCTTCTAATAACTGATTTCGGCTAAACGAACGTTGACCCAAATATTTTTATAAATAAGTACTGTATGATGTTATTTATGTTCTAGATTATTTTGGGTGGAGACCCCTAGAGACCCTTAGTTTAAATTAATAAAATACGGAAATAAACAACAAAAAAATCACGCACCCCAAAAATCTGCGTGTTTATGTTTACTAATTAAAAAACTGAGCGCCTTTTTATACATATTAAAAAAGTTGTTACACTTGGATGATTTTAGGCACGTAAACCATTACCCAAATTAAAACTTTGCGAGGAGTGGTAAATAGGTTAGAAGGACGTTGAAAAATTCAGCGGAAGTTAACCTTAATTTGGGGATGTTTTTCCTTAATTTGATAACAGTAATGTTGAGAAACCCTGTTAATGACTCATATTTTTTAACAGTTTTCCATTATGAAGTGTATACCTATTAGGGTGTCAGTTATTTACAAAGTTTATCATTTCTCTCACGATGCCCTCTAAATTTTTAGTTTATTGTCTATAAAACAATAACAGACCATTGTAAACCCTTAATATTTACATAAACTTTGCCCCAAAGACCATTCATTTAGGAATTTGACACTTTTTGCAAATATTTTTTTTTCTCTCGATTTTGTTCTCTCGTAGCCATGACAATTACACATTCTTATACAGAATTAAACGCTCTACAAAAAAGGTCTCTTGCAATTTTTCGATAAACCTACTCCTTCAAAAGTTATTCACGGTTAAAGTTAACCACTCGGTAAATTCCTAAATTCTTCAACTTTTTTGACAAAATTATGATTATTTTTGAAAAATTTCATCTATTACTGTAAAAATATACAATTCTGATGGTGTTAAGGTTGGGAATTAAGAAATCTTCAAGTCTAATGGAGTTTAAACCATTTAAGCTGATTTAAGTATAGCTGATTTATTTTAATAAACATTATTTATTAAAATAAATGAGCTATACTTAAATGGTAGGAATAACAATTGAAGAAACCTTTTTTGTAGAGCGTTCACTTCTGTACAAGAATATGTGATTGTCATGGCTGCGTGAGAACAAGATCAAGAGAAAAAAAACATATTTGCAAAAAGTGGCAAATACACACACCGGAAAAGTCTAGGGATATTACAATTTTATCCAGCCATCATCAGTAATTTTATTATTTGCATTTCTGATATAATAAAATTAAAATAAACAAATCCTAGTTTACAGGACGTATTGGAAATAAAAATGCGAAATTTACCGAATTTTTCAAATTTACCTTGATTTTTATTGAACTCAAAAAATATACACATTTTTTTTTATTCTAAACTGTGAATTAAAAAAAAAGATAAAACCATTTTTACTTAATAAAGGGTATGGCCTCCTGTACTGTTTATTACAGCCCTACATCTTCTCTCCATGCTCCTGATCAGGTTTGTCGATCTCTTCTTGAGGTACAGCCTGCCACGCTGCATTCACGGCCCGAACCAGATCCCTACGAGTTTCACGAGGCATACCCATTCTCAAAATGCTTGTTTGGACCGCGTCCCATACGTGCTCCATGGGGTTGAGGTCAGGAGATTGTGCCGGCCAGGGTAAGATGTTTAATTGATGAGCATTGATAAACTCACTTACCACTTGTACTGTATGAGGCCGTGCATTGTCATGTATGAGAATGAAGTTTCTCCCAAAATCATGGGCATTTGGTAACACGACAGGCTCAAGAATTAAATCACGATATGTGATTTCTGTTAGAAACCTTACAAGAAAAACGATATCGGGTTTTCGGCCTAACTGGACTCCTCCCCAGACCATAACTGTTCCACCTTGATAAGGGTGCACTTCCTGAACATGATCCAACCGAATAAAATTTCCCGGTTCTCTCCATACCTTAAGCCTTCTCGAATCCGGATGAATTCCAAAGCGTGACTCATCCGTGAAGAGAACATTGGCCCATTGTTCATTCGACCACTGAACATGATCTTGAGCCCACAAATATCGTAACCTCTCGATTTCTCTCTCTCGTCAGGTTCCAGGGCGTCTGCTTCGTTGACGTCTCTAATCTATTGGTAACAGTGTCAGGACTAACGGTTACATTATGCTTCCTGGACCAAACTAAGCTCTGGTGCTGTAAGAGTCGGTCGGCGTCGAGCATTTAATTGTAAAAAATGATCTTTGAGGTAGCGCGATGTCGCCCTGTGTGCTTTTCAGCAACATCACCACTTTCACGGTTGCACTTAATCGCGATATTACACTTTGCGTTGTATTTAATGCTCTAGCTACGTAGATTTGGCGCACTCCAGCTTCGAGCATACCCATGGCCCTTAGCATTTCGTCTCTGTTAAGATGTATACGCTCCATAATGTCGTTTAATACTAAACAGAGTTATTTGAATGAATTTTGGCCAATTATCATAAAAACATAGCCAGTACAGGTTAAATTCGAACAATTGATGCTAGGTGCTTTTTATACATTTGACAAAAAATGCACAAACACTTTTGCAAATATCTCAAATTTAGAAATAACTAGTGTGACTACTTCGTTTCAATCGAAGTAGAAAGAATCGGCCTACAAATATGTGGTTGTTTATTCGAAACATTTATTTTTAACTTTAATAAAATGATATCCCTAGATTTTTCCGGTGTGTGTATGTAAAACAATCTCAGATACTGGCCTGAGCGTGTATGATAAGTTATAACTCAAGATAGGGTAATTTCTACTAATCTGAATTTTGTCATCCGATTGATATTTTCAAATATATTCCTGGCTAACCAATATAGCTTCTCATCAATATTCCTAAATCTAAAATGTATACCTATAAGCAAACAAAAGCGAAAAAAACAGACAGACTAAAAACAAAAAGCGTTTCTACGGTATCACAAGTCAAAATAAAACTAACATAAAATAATATGAGCAGTTTTACGTTATGATAGAACATCATAAATTTTCGTATTTTTAGCTCTAGCATTTCGTACAGACACGACAACACAATATGGATCAAGTGAAAGTGAAAAGCATTATCGATATATCCTATCGAAACATTTATGTAAATTGCATGTGTATACAGTGTGATTTTTATTTTAAAACACTTTTTACCTCACACAATAATTTTTAATTCGGATGAGTCTTGTTATAAGTTTAATTTTTTTATATTTATCATAAGTATATTAATTACTATTTCTATATACAGGAAGGCTTCAAAACACACTTCTTAAAGAACATGAGAAATGGTGTCTGGGAGTTTTTTGACATGAGAAATTTGATTTTAATGTCAATATGACTCCTACTTGTAGAGGGCGCCACCTATTTACTTTTTAAATGGTTTGAAGAATAATAACTTTTCGTCCGTACCTGTATAAAACTACTGAGTAAAAAAATATACATTTTTTAAAAAATATACATATTAAATATACAAATATCATTTTTTTGAAGAAATTTAAAATTTTAAATTTATGATTAATTTAAAAAAAATTTCAAAGTTCCCAATTTGATCATTTCAGTCAAATAACTCTAACTATATATAATCTACTCAACATGTTTATTTTTTGTCAATAATGACATACACTTCTCCAATAAATTAACGCACCACAAAAAAATAACCAAAAGTTTAAGTGAAGTTTTTGTCAAAACCACTTAACCGATTTGGACGATTTGGAAAATTTGTGACACCCTGTAGAGTTGATCAGTTACAGTATCAAGTTAAAATTGAAATCATATTTTAGCCTTATCTTTTTTTTTACATTTTGTTTTTTTATTTACTCCATTATCTTCCTTATTACACGAGAAACAACATTTTATAGGATGACATGATTTAATATTGGTTTTAATTAACATTTTTCCATTTTACTCACTAAAGTAAGTAGCGGCCTTGGTAGCAGGCTATGGAAAAACACGGATTACCAGTAAATGTCAAATAGAGATGCTTGTTGTCAGTGTCAGTCGTTTCCGTCCTTTTATTATATCAAAAATATGCAACGTGCACGTGAAACAGGAAATCTTACTGGCGAAGAATGTGCTCAAGCATTAATATTGTCTGAGGAAGGTTGGAGCTACCGAAGAATTGGTGAACGATTTAATGTAACTCACTCAACCATTTCACGAATAATTATACAACGGTATAGATATACTAGGAGTAATTGTCGCAGGCCGGGACAAGGCAGGAATCGAAGAACCAATCCGATTCCGGAACGTTTTTTAAAACTCTCAACATTAAGACAACGTTTCGTAACAGCTCGGATCCTTCAAACTCAGTTCAGAGATACTAATGGTCTACAAGTTTGCACAGAAACTAGCATCTCTATTTGACACTTACTGGTAATCCGTGTTTTACCATAGCCTGCTACTTACTTTAGTGAGTAAAATGGAAAAATGTTAATTAAAACCAATATTAAATCATGTCATCCTATAAAAGTTTGTTTCTCGTGTAATAAGGAAGATAATGGAGTAAATAAAAAAACAAAATGTAAAAAAAGATAAGGCTAAAATGTGATTTCAATTTTAACTTGATACTGTAACTGATCAACTCTACAGGATGTCACAAATTTTATTAAAAAAACACGTTATAATTGCTACACCCGGTGTTAGTATAAAAAGGGTTCCTATCAAAATACAGTTAGTATAGCAACATGGTGGAAAGAATAACCTATCATTCAAAAAAAAAATCGTCCAAATCGGATAAGTGGTTTTGACAAAAACTTCACTTACACTTTTGGTTATTTTTTTGTGGTGCGTTAATTTATTGGGGAAGTGTATATTGACTATTTCCATTCTAAATATCTTGAAAACGCTTGCTCGTTTTCAAGCGATTTTTATCAAGAGACATTTTTTACGTAAAAAATCACGGAAATATATATTTTTTTACTCAGTAGTTTTATACGGGTACGGACGAAAAGTTATTAGTCTTTAAAACAGTTAAAATACATGTAGGTGGCGCCCTCTACAAATCGGAGTCATATTGACATCAAAATCGAAATTATTTAGAAAAAATCGAAATAAAAATGAACCTTCTATACAGTGTATCTCCGAAACTAAGCATTTTAGGACATACATTTATATGAAGTTTTTTACTTATTTTTATCTGGAGAATACGCTGCCTAAGTTTCCGGAATACAATCCGGTCCGTCCTGTATATTCACCCAGTGGGAAATAAGTACAAAAAAATTCAAAAGACTCCTGGACTATATTCAGTCAAAATGGATCAAGTAAATTGTGATTAGACAAAAAGAAGGAAACGTTTTACTTGAAATTAGTTTACCAAAAACTGATCTTAAACCGCAGCAGGTAAAACTTCTATGATCTAGCTTATCTGATCAGTTAACTGCCAGGTAAAACGTTACGTCTATGACTGGGCTTTAAGCTTTCCTGTATATTATTTATTAAAGTTATATTAATCAATAACCATTAAAAATAATTTGTTTTTGCTTTTGATTGTTTGTGATCATTTCTAGCATGTGACATAGTGATAAGGACATCACAAAGAGCACGTGTTCATTTCTCTGAGTGTATTTACAGGAGAGCACACTCAAATTTCGTTCATGTTCAACGTGAGCTACTTACGTTAGTATCATTGTTTTCGTTTTTTTCTTGATTTTTTTCCTCGTTCTTATAATAAAAAGTAAAATATTTAATTTATGCTTATAGTTAAAGGAAATTGATGAAAAATATTTTAACCAATGTAGTGAATTCTTTTCTTATTTTAGGGTAACGTTGCCACGACCATAAATATTGGGTAGTGTGAACATTGTTGGCCATTTATAGTTATTTTTTATACAAAACGATAAAATGGTATTTTATCGTCGATCGAAAAGATTAATTCAATTAATTGATGGAGACAATAATGCAATTTTATCGTAGTGTATAAAACAATATTTTTTCCATAGCGAGTTACGTTTTAAAAAATATTCAGAAATTATTATTTCAAGGAATTTATTACGAGTAGAAAAAATATAGTGCTGGGTAGGTGTTGGTTTTTATGTAAATTGACAAATAAATAAAGCTGTCTCTTTAGTTGTCAGTTTTGAGTCAATATTTTTTAATTCTCTTTCGTGTCGATTGCTGACTGAATTGGAGCCGGAAATGGCTCAAAACGAAATAAGTAAATTACCAACAGATATTCAGGCTGAGGCGACAAAGGCCATATCCAAACTACTTCTATTTAAATCCCGAATAACTTATGAAAAGGAATAGAAACATTTTCAAAAATGGAAGCAATTAAAAAACGTGCGAGAAGAATATCCTCCCCTAGGTATCCTCCCTGTTAAAGTATCATTTAATCTACCCTTGAGGGTTAAAATACTATTTTAACACGCTAATAGTGAAGAAAGTCCAAAGAAGAAGACTTTCTTTCTTCTAATTTTAAATAATTTTCATTCAGAAAAATCCTTCACTACATTAATTAAAAAAATAATTATGAAATAAGGGATGAAATGAAAAAATATGGTAAGCATAGCCGTAGAATGCTTACTTTGACATCTCCACCACCTGGTTGATGCTTAATATTATCCTTGGAGCCTATTTTCGATTTGGCCTTGTCCTTGAAGTCCAATTTAACGCTTTCGATTTTTTTATCCCCTCCCTTTGGTTTGTAGGTGGCGTTTTCCAGTGATCCAATTTTGGATTTGGCGTTCCATTCTAGTTTTTGAGTGATTATCTGGAAAAGAACAAGGAAAGTTTATTTTTATGTCCTTTTTGATAGGATTTTATGTGAATATTCTAGATATACGTGTCCTGAACAACCTATTTTAATACAATATTTATTGCTGCTAATTCACACTATTGTCAGATTCGTTTAACTAATACTTTAATTACAATGATGATAATTGTAAGTGATGAAATGAATAAAGTAATGTACTACAGGGTGAGTCTCAAATAAGTGCAAATATTTTTAGGGGTAGTAAATTGTTTGGAATTTTTTTTAGTTTTTAGTTAAAACACATCATTTCTTAATAATATGGCAACATAGGTACCCAAGTAGCAAAATGAAATTCTAAAGGGATTGAATTATTTTATAACAGTCGAATAGCGTTGTCTTAAGGACTGCTTGATTTTATTAAGCGTTTGGTTTCGACCATTCTGTTTTTTAATAAAAGTTGTCATATTAAACTATTTTCTTGTGGTTTTTACAACGTATCCTATAACGCATTAAACGATAATTTCTTTTAGTATGATATAACACTTAATAAGACAAAGCTATATGATAACAAACATATTATTTTATTAGACTCTTATACCCACCATGTAAGAGTTCCAAAATATTCATATAACTAGTAGTCACAAGATCATATAATAGTTACTTAAACTTGTCTTATTAAAGTTGTATTACGTTGTATGATATTTTATGATGAATATTTTATTGCGTTAAACTACGCTGCTATATACAACACTAGTTATATAGCCTTATATGATAAAATTGTAATTAACAAAATAAATTTGCTGTAATATCTGCATTATAAAACTGGTAATGTATAATATAACCTCATTTTAAATTAAATGGTATACCTAGTTATTTATTTTGTTATTGTTGTTGTTGCAAAAGTAATATCTACGTACGAGTATAATCAATTAGAGCTATTATGAATTCTGGACAAAGTTGGAAAAAAGTTAACAAACGCAGTGGTAGTTATAAAAGAGCATGTAAGAAAAAACTCCTCGAAATTACGGTAAATAATCCCGAGAATTCCCTGGGCCAAAAAATCCAAAATCTTCTTGGGTTGTCTGGCTTCTTCAAAGCATTGTTGCCACGTTGATGTAAAAGTTTTACTGTAATAATAATGTTTGTATTGTTTTATTGTTGTTTTTCCAAGTCCTTAGGTTGCCGCTCACTCGTCGGTCATGCATGAAATGCATTGCGTGCATGAATCCATGAAAATCTGATCATGTTTGTTAGTTTAAATACTAATCAAATGAGATTTGGTAACATCTATTTGTCACAAATCTCAATATGTGAAAAATAGTTCTATTGTGCCTGGAAATTCTGCGTAATGATAGATATTTATCCTATACCGTTTTATTTTACAACAAAGACTTATTTAAGGGATTCATTTATAATAAAATGGTTGCATTATAATTCGCCATGTTTAAGGTAGAATTTTTGTATGGCGTATGGCCGCCATTATATGAAGCAAAATTAAAAACATCAAAATAAATTGTAACATGTTATTTTTGAGAACTATTTTGTGATAAGATTCCCACATACAGTAATAAACTGTTTAATTAAATTAAAAACAAGAATTTTTGAAAATTTTATTTTATTTTATTGTTTAAATTTATGCGTAAACCTTAATCGAAATTAAAGCGCTTTAATTTTTTGCCAAATACATACCTATAATCTACCAGTAAAATTTTCGGCGCAACAAAAATTGTCCCTACTTTTCAAACCCTATTAATGATTTTTTATATTACATAATTGTTGTACCTTTTGGCTCTACCCGCCATTTTCACCGTCGAGTAAAGGCTACTTTTTAACAATCCACATCCTCTAGATTCATTTTACGACACGCTTAAAATATAATTTGCTCCTAATATTCTTCGGTAAAAAATAAAATACTCTTTTACCTCGCTAAATGATCAAATGTTTTTAGTGTTCTGTCTCTTAGATGTGACCACGTAATACACAATAAAACTAGTTTTATAATAGTTATATAACGCTGTGTAAAATAGTTGCATAAGAGTTGTATACCCTTTTTATAGAACTTCTATACTACTAAACGGTTGTATAAAAATGGGCCTATTTTGGTTGTAAAGCTATCATATTACGGTCTTATAGCACGTTATACGAATTGAGGTATCCTATAAAAATGATCATATAGCTGTTTATACAGCTTTTATAAAATAAAATTTGCTACTTGGGTAGTAGATTAAATTTACAAGAAAGAAAACCCAGAAAAGATTCAGTGGTTCTCAAAATTAAAAAGTATTTTTTTTATTTTCAAAATAACTCGGTTATTTTGGACTTATCTGAAAAAAGGGTAAAGAGAAAATATGTTTCTTTTATCGAGATCTACCATCCCTGAAAATATTTGCACTTATTTAAGACTCACCCTGTATAATGTAGATACTTCTTTGCCATATTTAATCTTATTCTATCTACCAAAATTAATTTCGTTCATTGTTTTAGCGGATTATAGTGTGTAAAATGTTGTATGTTTGGAAATCTGGGTCACTCTGTATATTGTAGAAACAATGCAAGAGCTAGAGCCATGCAAGAGCCAATTGCTGCATAAGGACAAATTAAAGTTGTATTTTTAGTTCGATTAAATATGAATAAATACATTGCTCAGACCGTTCCTAGATATTAACAACGTGTGGCTAACGTTCCTTTAATTAGAAAGGCAGACAAACACGCAAAGCAAATCGATATAAACAACGTAATATGCTACCATTAAATTCAATCCTAGGTTTTAACTTATTAGGTAACTAACATACATGTCGTTAACAAGAAGAATTATTTTTTTTAAACTTAAAACAAACAACTTATTTTGGTAACGATAGAATAAGAAAAAATGTTTTCAAGTTATTACTAAAGAGATGATGTTCACTATGCCCAATAATACAGTACTGTGATAATGGTGATTGTCTTAATCTAGCTCAATATTGTAGGTATCACAATCTACTTCACCAAATTCACAAAATCTTACTTTTCTAGGAGTTGGACAACTCCTCACGCTCCTAGCAGAGTTTAGATCCTGAAATATTCACATGATGATGAAACAAAGAACGTTAAAATTATGGAGAAAATGAGAGTTAAAGTTTTTAATGTTACTTAATTAAAATAAAACAAGCTGGAGAAGAAAACTTGACACAATGTTTGATTATATTTTAAATTGTATAACTGCGAACTAAAGTAACTCAAAATACACCTGTGGTAATTTTTAAGAATGTTTGTTTTATCCTTTTTTGGACTTGAACCATTTTATCTCTGAAAATATTTGAAATTTGAGATATACAGGGTGTTTTAAAACAAATGCGAAAAACTTCAGGGGGTGATTCCTTGTTCAAAATAAAGGGTAGTTTGCTTTATAAACGTTGGGTCAAAAGTCAACCATTAGGGAGATATCGCGGTACAAAGATGGCGGAAAAATAATGTTTTTATTTTTTATCTTGAAAACGAAAAGAGATAGACTAATGAAATTTTACGGGAAGCATTACTGTTATGAAAATACACTTTCTGGTAATTTTTCACTTTTTAAAATGAGTGGAAGGGGTTGAAATAAACTACCCCTATAATTCTTGTTAATGAAATTTAAAGAAAAATCTTATAAACACATGCAAAAAAATTAATTTGGATAGTTTAGTTTATTTAGAAACTTTTTTATCTCTTGTGTTTTTTTGATAAAACTCACTGATTTGAAATTAAAAAATAAAATGTAAAGCATTACATGTCAGGACAAAAAACATTTTTAGATAAAGAATCTAGTGGGCAGCTGTAATTTCTTTAGGAAAAAATCTAGTCGGCCGCTGTCACTTTTTAGGATGTTTCTAATATTGTTTTATTTGACATTACCCTACTGCAATACGTTATTATCTAGATTATTATTATTATCATTATTATCACTAGATTCTTAATCTAAAAATATTTTTAGTCCTAACATGTAATGCTTTACATTTTATTTTTTAATTTCAAATCGGTGAGTTTTATAAAAAATACAAGAGATAAAAAGTTTCTAAACAAACTAAACTATCCAAATTAATTTTTTTGCATGTGTTTGATAAGATTTTTCTTTAAATTTCGTTAACAAGAATGATAGGGGTAGTTTATTTCAACCCCTTCCACTCATTTTAAAAAAGTGAAAAAATTACCAGAAAGTGTGTTTTCATAACAGTAATGCTTCCATAAAATTTCATTAGTCTATCTCTTTTCGTTTTCAAGATAAAAAATAAGAACATTATTTTTCCGCCATCTTTGTACCGCGATATCTCCCTAATGATTGACTTTTGACCCAACGTTTATAAAGCAAACTACCCTTTATTTTGAACAAGGAATCACCCCCTGAAGTTTTTCGCATTTGTTTTGAAACACCCTGTATATGTGTATATTGGTTCATCGGTACATTCTTCTTCGTCATTAAGGGATTTGTTGATTTCACATTGTCTATTAATAATGTTTTCTTGGATTTTTATAAAAATTATGGTATATAGGCGGGATAAAGGGAAGAAAATCTTTCCCTAAGTATTTATAAAAAAAACAGCCTAACTTATTGATGTACAGGGTGTCCCACTAAGAATAGCTCTCGGCTGTATCTCGGAAAGTATTAGCCGTAGGGGCTGCGGAAAAAAATATTTATAACTAAAGAGGCTATGAGAAATTGCTGGAAATTATTTTCAAGTTTATAGAACGACCGCTAGGGGGCACAACTGCAACAAAAAATAAGAAAATGGAGTTTTTACACCATTTTGCCTAGATAAGGTGTACTATAAGTAATAGCTTCATAATCTTCAGTAAATTTTGGATTTTCTTTGTTAGAACCATTTTTCCCGATCTGCTAAAATAAAGTGGTGGGGGAAGGTTAGATCTATCTTTATATAAATGTTAATAACTCCGGACTGTATGATCAGAATCCAACAAACGAGGGCTCGTTTAAAAGAGCGTTTCTTACTCTATATTACACCATAAAAATAATAATAATAATAAGGTTTTGAACGTAGACGCTAGGGGGCGCTTTATTACAATTTAACAAACATAGCGCGTTTTTTTAAAAAAATAAATACGAGAGTATATGTAATTTTAGCTGATAGTAAAGAGTAGTAAAAGCTTAAAAAGTCAGTGAAAACCGCATCTTGATATCTTCTTTCAAACCGAAGATATTAGCAAAATTATAATAAATACCTAAAAATAAGCCTTTAATTACCTTATTTTTAAAACACGGTATCCCTCTTGATTATGCCCATTCCAACAAAAAATAAGATAGAAACAGTTAGTTTATTTTAAAAGTGACGAAATACCAGAATACCATAATACCAGAGGTATTAATAATTAATATTAAGATATTAATAACAGTGAAGAAGAAACGATGATTCAGTAAAGTCATGGTAGGTTTTGGAAAAAAGTTGCTTTTCACCTAATAGCATAAACGTCAAATTGTTATTAGATCAACATTTTGATAGCCTTAGCAGCGTTTTTTTATCTGTTGATTGCTTTTTCAAAATGCCAACAACTTCAACTACTTCAAATAATGAAGTTATTTTGAAAAAAGCAATTAAAAGATAAAAAACGCGGCTAAGACTATCAAAATGTTGATCTAATAACTGTTTGACGTTTATACTATTACGTGAAAAGCAACTTTTTTCCAAAGCCTACTATAACTTCACCGAATCATCGTTTCTTGTTCACTGTTATTAATATCTTAGTTATTACATATTAATACATCTGGTATTATGGTATTCTGGTATTTCGTCGATTTTAAAATAAACTAACTGTTTCTATCTTATTTTTTGTTAGAATGGGCATAATCAAGAGGGCTACTGATACCGTATTGTAAAAATAAGGTAATTAAGGGCTTATTTTTTGGTAGTTATTATAATTTTGCTAATATCTTCGGTTTGGAAGAAGATAACAAGATGCGGTTTTCGTTGACTTTTTAAGCTTTTACTACTCTTTACTATCAGCTAAAATTACATATACTCTTGTATTTAATTTTTTTGAAAAAACGCGCTATGTTTTTTAAATTGTAAGAAAGCGCCCCATAGCGTCTACGTTCAAAACCTTATTATTATTATTATTTTTATGGTATAATATAGAGTAAGAAACGCTCTTTTAAACGAGTCCTCGTTTGTTGGATTCTGATCATCCAGTCCGGAGTTATTAACATTTATATAAAGATAGATCTAACCTTCCCCCACCACTTTATTTTACCAGATAGGGGAAAATAGTCCTAACAAAGAAAATCCAAAATTTACTGAAGATTATGAAGCTATTATTTATAGTACCCATTATCTAGGCAACATTCTGTAAAAATTCTATTTTCTTATTTTCCATAGCAGTTGCGCCCCCTAGCGGCCGTTTTACAAACTTGAAAATAATTTCCAGCAATTTCTCATAACTCCTTTAGTTATAAATATTTTTTTCCGTAAGCCCTACGGCTAATGCTTTCCGAGATACAGCCGAGAGCTATTCTTAGTAGGACACCCGGTATTGTACTAATAGTGAAAATAATGACAAACAAACTATACTTTCAGAATCGATAGAATCAGACCATTCAGATGGCTGATATTCTGATTAACTTGGAGCAAATGGTTCAGACATTGTTTCATTGTCATCCAGATTTTTTTTGCTCTAAACTTTAGCACGTATGTTAAAATCGTGCAGAGCGTTAAATTTTATGGACTTGATCCAGTTCACTTTTGAAAGGAATCAACAGAATATTCAGAAATCAAACAGAAACGATATAAAGACGATTATCTTAAAATAGTAGGAAATTGGACTTGATCCATTTTAATTCTGACCACTCCAAATAATGATGACGTAACAGTGAACGATGGCTAAACAGTCTTTACGTGATACGTTTGTTAGTATTGTACGAGGAAACAGCCTTATATGCTTTACACTTAAATTATTCTTCATCAATTCCATATTGTCTACCAACTTTAGACAAACCAGTAAATAATATAATCACTGTTCAATTATAAATAAAATATCTGACTTACTTTCTTTTCACCCTTCTTAGGAAGGTATCTCTCGTTCTTAGCCTCGATCCTAGGCGCTGCGTTCTTGAACTCCAGCTTCTTGTTCTCGATTTTCACCTTCCCACCACCCGGCTTGTAGTGGTAGTTCTCCAACGACCCGATTTTCGACTTGACCACCTTCAAATTGGGCGACGGAGCTGCACCGACCTGGATCTTGTTCATAGGAACTTCTGGAATCATCGAAAAACACAAATTTCGACCGGAAAATGAGCTAAAACGAGCGATTTTAAGGGTGAAGGATGCCCTAGGATGGCCTGGGAACGACTAAATCCATTACTGTCATTAGTCCGGAGGTATTAGGCGGTGCAAGTCACAGATTAGGAGCTTAATAGAAATGGTATTGTTCGTGATGGGGTGGATTTTGATTTGTTTCGGAGTCCTTTATAATATTTTAGAATAGAAAAAGAAGGTTTCGCGGTATAACTTTCGGAAATATTAATAGTTTACTTAAAGTTTGGGAAGATTGATCGTTTTTTTGTAAATGAAGGGGCCTGTGTTTGTTTCTATAGTAGCTTATTGATTTGAAAATAATATTAATATATATTCGATACCGATTAAACTTTTAGTTACGTAATCGAGGGCGCGATTTTTAAATGCATTGTTGCCAACCATGACATATTCGGCGCCGTGCTGACTAACTGGAATTTAAATTTCCCGCTGGGGATTCAGGCTGTAAAAAATGTCATGTTGCCAAATTTATTTATTTATTTCATGACATTGTCATTCGTTTTGACACTTTACTTTTGTATAATTTAGTATAATATAATATAGTATAAGTTTTTGTTTTAAATAAATAGTGTTGTGATATTTTAAGCTTAAATTTTTTTACTAGCAGACCTTGTCGGACAAAATCTCCTCAATAGTGCCAATAAGCAAGGAACAACAAGGATTCCGAAGAAACCGATCAACTACTGATGCACTATTCATACTCAATCAACTAGTTGAAAAATCCTTAGAATATAACTCTCCAGCCTATCTATGTTTTATAGATTTAACAAAGGCCTTTGATAGAGTCCAACTAAAAGACATCATCACCATCTTAGAAAGCAGTAATGTCTCGAAAGAACTCACAGAACTAATTAAGGACTTAAACACAAACACAACAACCCAAATAAGAACAAACTTTACCTTAACGCAGCATCTTCGAACTACAACTGGTATTCGCCAAGGCGACAGCCTCAGCCCTCTGTTATTCAACACAATCATGGATCAAAAACCATCAAGAATACTGGATTAGGATATCGAATGGGAATGCATAAAGTAAACATATTATGCTATGCCGATGACGCAGTACTTATTGCAGAGTCAGAGGACGACCTCCAAAGAATGCTACAGACAGGCAGAAAAACTTAACATGCAAATTTCCACAAATAAGACCATTACAAAGGAGCCTCTACGGTGCAAATTGGTAATAAAAAACAAAACTATTGATCAGATAATGTCATTCGAATACCTCGGATGCAAAATTACAAGCTCAGGATTCCTGGAAGAAGAAGTAAGGAAACAAGGCAATAAAGCTGCCGCAATATCAGGACATCTTAAATATCTCATATGGAAAAACAAACATTTGAGTACAGAATGTAAGTCAAGAATATACAAAACCTGCATACGACATTGGTGCGGAAACCAGAGCTGAAACATCAGTAACAAAGAGAATCCTACGAACTACTGAAATGAAGACCTTAAGAATGATAACTGGATACACATTGAGGGACAGACAGAGAAATGTAGACATAAGAGAAAAGTGCCAAACAAACGACGTTGTCAGATGGATAAGGCAGAGAAGAAGAGAATGGAACCAGCGTGTCAATAGAATGGGCCCCGACAGAATGGCCATAATAATTCGCAACAACGTACCCCATGACAGAAGACCTACTGGACGACCACCTAAACGTTGGCAAGACAGTTGGCAGTCAACCTCGCAAGAGTTGCTTAGACGAGGAGGAAACCGGAACTAAACAGGCGATACACCTTCTAAAAGAAGAAGAAGAAGAAGACCTTGTAGTAGTATATTGTTCTTTTTAGAACCTCTTTTAGTGAGAAGTAGTACAAGATAGCTTAATAGCCGTACAAAAATTCATATTAGAATATTTTGAACGGGAAAGCGGTAAAATGGCCCTTTATGTCCCATAAGTGCAGTTAAGAAGCTGAGTTTTGTTGATATAAATAATAACTGTTTATATATCTATAATTAATTTATTTTTGTTTCCTAAAATATTTAGATTAAAGGAAAATATGAAAAAGTGGGCAACGCTGTGTCGGTCAAGCTTAATCACGTGACTAAAAGTTTATTTGATATGAACTATACTAAAAGTTGGAGTTGACAAATAATAATAGCTTTTCACAGTGTAGAGAGATAAAGTCAAAAGTTACTGGTTTAAAAAAATAGGATTAAAGTTAATTAACCAACCAAGTGTTTGTAAATTATTGAAGTTATTATTAATAAAATATTTTGTTTTATTTATTCCCAGTGGCGGATATAGAGGGGGGCCCACGGGGCCCTGGCGCTCCCTAAAATCTATAAATTGGGTTAAATATTAAGCTTTTGGGTTAAAAATGGCGCTCTAAAAAGCATATTTTACATTACCTTGCCGGAGTTTCTGGAATACAGTTCGGACCACGCTGTATATAAGATATCTGGATAAACTTGCAGAATCCAGTAATAATATTTAATAATACCTATTTCTATTAAGTTTCTTTATCAACTCACTTTTTTTTTCAGCTGATCCTGGAGTGGTTGCTGCGGAATCTGGCGACTGTAAACTGGATGGAGTCTTGGAACCTCTGGACAGGGACCTTCCCTTAGTAGGTGTGGTGGACGACGTCCTGGATTTGGTGGATTTCCTGGGAGACCTGGAGTCTCCATTACAAGACTGGTCCTGAACGGAAAACGGTTTTTCTTGTTGTTGAATTGTTACAGTTTTAAAATATCGCTACTTACATTTCCTTGAGTTGATTCGTCTACGCCACTGTCGTTATCTCCTTCTGTAACAAGAGAAAATTACGTTAATACAATTTGCTTAAGGAATAAAGTAAATTGATAAAAAAAATATTCATGTTTAATGTTTATATCTTTCTGGCGAATTCATTTGGGGATGTTTTTTAATTACGTCAAGATTTTTTAAGGATTTTTCAAAAAAATTGTCAAAAAAAGTACACAACGAATAAAAAAAAATATTGAAAGTATCTAACTTTAAACTAAAGTGTTCTTGTTTTTGTTCCAAACCCATTACTATACAGGGTCCGGCAAAAGTGCGTCGGACATCTGTAGCTGCTAGAATAAAAACTTGGGAATTTTCGAATTTTGTTTAAGTGCAAACCTAAAGTATGTACGGGGATGTATTTCAGAAAAATATTTTAACTTCTATAGGGTGGCTCAAAAAAGTGTGAGTACATCGGGATGATTTTTTTTAAATGGAACACCATGTATATTATTGCATTTTTGGATTCCTTTTGGATCACTTTACATACTCCTAAGATATGAGTAAATATATTTCGATAATTTCAGAGATATTAATAAATAAATAAAAATATATATTTTTCTTCTTTAAAAAAATTATTACAAATACAGGAACTGTCCTGGAATCAAAACTATATGAGGTTTTACTTTAGATAGTCTGTACTTAACTTTGCTATAAATAGCGTAATCTTAAACCATACAGGGTGCTCAAAATTCTATGCCAAACTATCTAAAATATAAAATAATTTTTCTTTTTTTTTCAACAACCTGTATATTATTTTTTAATTAGATAGTGTAAAATCGCTATTTTTGGGGCTTACTCAACCGGGTCTCACAATGCAAATTCACCTCAAATATCCATTTAGTTGGTCATTGGCAAGCACTCTCTCATTGTACATGAAAATAACAAAACAAACATTTACTGATCTGGATAAAATTGATAGTTAAATAGTAAGACTCACCCGGGGGTACTCCGCCCCCTAGCCACTGACATCACTGATATTCTATTCAATATATCCCATTCCATCTAATTCAAATATTATTCGGATCTATTGGTTAATAATCTTCAACAACTAGCTAGTGTCACCTGAAATAGTATAGGGGCTTCCCCCGGACGCAATTCTGCCGCTAAACAGATTCGCATCCCAATCGAATAAGCTAATTGGGGTAGCTCACTACCCCAACGCCGCATCGACAATCGAGAAGACATTATGGAGATCTCAAACTCTCAAGACCAACTCGAAGGCAGGACGTCACAAGAGGTTTTCTTCCTGTGGTCAAACGACCCCGGTGGCTTACAGTCAAACGACTTGCAACTATGTTAGTCAAAAAGGCTCGCAACCCCCATTTGTCAGCTCTATGACAAAACACAACACTACACAGCCGGCCGGCCTATCAACTACTGACTGACCTGCCGCGCGCCGCGCCGGCAAGCTAAGCCTCCTCTCTTACATCACAATTTTACCTGATCACAAATATTTACATCGCTTGCCAATGAATCATACTATTTTTTCTAATCGACAACTTTTCAAACAGAGTGTTTTAGCATCACTAGATAAATAAATAGAGAGTTTCCGAAGGAATGCATATTGTTTATTAGAATAGTGAATAAATAAAAGCATTATTATGACGAACTCATTTTCCAAGTTTTACAATAGAGAGTTAAAAAATGAACATGTTTTGTATTTAAATGGTTTTGAATTATTTCATATGGCTCTTTCAACGGTAAAATACGAGAGAAAAATCATTGGGTGGCTTTGATAAAAAAAATTTATGGAAAATTCCATATGAAATATAAAACCGCGAATTTCTGCGAAACCGTTAAAAATTTTTAAATACAAATAATGTTAATTTTTTTAATTCTCCATCTATTGAAAAAATAATATACACGGTGTTCCATTTAAAAAAAACAAAGAAAAATTATTTTCTATTTTAGAAAGTTTGGCGTAGAATTTTGAACATCCTGTATGATTTACGATTACCATATTTATAGCAAAATAAGTACAGACCACCTAAAGTAAATACCTAATAATATGGTTTGATTTCAGGGCAGTTCTTGTATTTTTAATATTTTTTTTTAGAAAGGTGAAAAATACATATTTTTTATTTATTTATTAATATCTTTGAAACTATCGCAATATATTTACTCATATCTTAGGATCAAGTAAAGTAATATGAAAGAAAGCCAAAAATACAATAATATACAGGGTGTTCCATTTAAAAAATCATTTTGAGCCACACTATAGAAGTTAAAATATTTTCCTGAAATATATCCTAGTACATACTTTCTTTACTACTTTTTATTCTAGGAGCTACATATGCCCGATGCACTATTGCCCGACCCTGTACATGACTGTGAATAAAAATATAAATTTATTCTTAAGATGACACGTACTATTACGACTCAATTTCAGATCCAAATCATTCTTTTTCTCCTGATCCCGATCAAGAGCTTCTTGTCTGTGATCAGACGCCTGAGCCTTAACTTGCGACACCTGCTTGGAAGCCTCCTTGCTTGGAGACTGATGCGGGACCCCATTTGACATTTCGATACCTTTAAAGAGAACGACGCTCTAATAACGGCCTAGCAAAAAGTTCTACAGAGTGCTACAGAGGTGTGCTATAAGTTTTAGAGAATTAGTAGTGAATATTGCGTCTTGAGTCGTGAACATAAGCGGTAACCTTGACTATGTGATTTGTTTGCAGCGTCTCCTGGTGTTTTGCTCTCGTCGATTTTGTCCATTCTCGAAGGAGGTCGAGAATCGGGTCTCGACGGGGGTTGATCCTCGTATCTTCTTTGCATCGTTACATTCTCCATAGATCCTTGTCTGTTTGGAAAAGAAAAAACTTCCTGTTAACTTTCCAGTAAGCTTACAGGACGTTTAAAAATACCGATCTCGATTCATTTCTTTCACGATTAAATTGATGAAATAACATGATCAAATTTTCGACAGAGGACTCAATTGATAAAAAGCAACGTGATTGTGTTATATTTAACGTCAGTTTAACAAAAGATTCAAGTATCCTGAGAGAAGCTCTCAGCTGAATCTCAGAAAGCATCAGAACGCGCGGAAAAATATTTATGAATGAAGAGGCTATGAGAAATTGCTGGAAATTATTTTCAAGTTTGTAGAACCTACAGAGCTACAGATCATACTCAAAGAAAATAGGACGAATAATACCTGAAACCAAATTGTTACCATACCACCAAACAGTGCGGTGGCACATATTTTTTTTAACATAGCCGCTTGGAGAGATATTTATATTTTTGATATATCTGTTTCGACTACGCCTATGATATCGCTTATACAGGGTGTTTCAAAACAAATGCGAAAAACTTTAGGGGGTGATTCCTTGTTCAAAATAAAGGGTAGTTTGCTTTATAAACGTTGGGTCAAAAGTCAACCATTAGGGAGATATCGCGGCACAAAGATGGCGGAAAAATAATGTTTTTATTTTTTATCTTGAGAACAAAAAGAGATAGACTAATGAAATTTTACGGAAGCATTACTGTTATGAAAACACACTTTCTGGTAATTTTTTCACTTTTTTAAAATGAGTGGAAGGGGTTGAAATAAACTACCCCTATCATTCTTGTTAACGAAATTTAAAGAAAAATCTTATGAAACACATGCAAATGCTTTAATTTGGATAGTTTAGTTTATTTAGAAACTTTTTTATCTCTTGTGTTTCTTTGATAAAACTCACCGATTTGAAATTAAAAAATAAAATGTAAAGCATTACATGTCAGGACAAAGAACATTTTTAGATTAAGAATCTAGTGATAATAACGATAATAATAATCATCTAGATAATAACGTATTGCAGTAGAGTAATGTCAAATAAAATAATATTAGGAACATCCTAAAAAGTAACAGCGGCCGACTAGATTTTTTCCTAAAAAAAATTACAGCAGCCCGCTAGATTCTTTATCAGAAAATGGTTTTTGTCCTGACATGTAATGCTTTACATTTTATTTTTTAATTTCAAATCGGTGAGTTTTATCAAAAAAATATAAGAGATAAAAAAGTTTCTAAACAAACTAAACTATTCAAATAAATTTTTTTGCATGTGTTTGATAAGATTTTTCTTTAAATTTCGTTAACAAGAATGATAGGGGTAGTTTATTTCAACCCTTCCACTCATTTAAAAAGTGAAAAAATTACCAGAAAGTGTGTTTTCTATCTCTTTTCGTTTTCAAGATAAAAAATAAAAATATTATTTTTCCGCCATCTTTGTACCGCGATATCTCCCTAATGGTTGACTTTTGACCCAACGTTTATGAAGCAAACTACCCTTTATTTTGAACAAGGAATCACCCCCTGAAGTTTTTCGCATTTGTTTTGAAACACCCTGTATAACTGTGATGGCAAACAAGAAAATTGATTTTTTACAAAATTTTACCTAGATAACAGGTACTAAAAATAATGGCGTCATAATCTTCAGCAAATTTTGTTTTTTTTTTTTTGTTTGAATTATTTTGCTGAAATGGTGGAGTAATGTTAGATCTGTTTTTATTTAAATAATATCAACTCCGGAGTGGGTAGTTGAAATCTAAAGAAGTAGTCTTCCTTACCCTATATTATACCATATAAACAATAATAATAATCAATTGACAGTAGACGCTAGAGGACGCTGTCGTACCATTTAACAAACATTGCGCATTAAAAAAAATGCGATAATGTCTAATTTCAGCTGAGAGTAAAGAGGAATAGAAGCTTAAAAAGTCAGCGAAAATCGCATCTTGATATCTGTTTTCAAACCGAAGATATTAGCAAAAATATAACAATTACGAAAAAATAAGCCCTTATAACTACTTTATTTTTACAACACGGTATCAGAGACAAATATAAACGATTAATTTATTCTAATATCGATAATACACCAGAATACCATAATACCAGATATTTTAATATCTAATAATTAAGATGCCATTGACAGTGAACAAGAAACGACGACGCCTCAGTAAACTCATGTTAGGCTTTGGAAAAAAGAAAGCAACCTCAAATAGTCTCAGCAGCGTTTTTTTATCACTTTAATCTTCCGTTTTAAGTTGCAGGCAAATTGTAATGTAAAACGTAACGTGTAGACACGGTTTTAGAACTGCTTCAAAGCGAGATAATAGTGTAATAAATCGAAATCGGTATAAATCACTAACAAAACACAAAACTTGCTTTGTCTTTGTCCCTATAAGTATAAGCAGTGTAGTTCTCAACCTTTTTCTGACATATCTACAAGAAAAACGGTTAAGAACCACATCAGGAACAAATTTGATCGCTTGCCTTGAAATATTGATCGATTCCTGGCTTCCGCTGTGCCTTTTTTGATCGAAAAACGGCCCCTGCGACGAAGAACTCATGCTACGCCCCAGTGAGGCTACGGAGGGGGGTCTCTGGTCCGCTAATGGACTCCTGCCCCCGTCCGCATACCTCTGGCCCTCGATCTCCGCGGTATCCAGAGTTTGCGATCTGAAACAGCGCTTTCCAGAATAACTCTTCTATTTGATTGGGTGAATTGAACCGTGACCATCGAGAAAAGAAGGCCCGACGAAATTAAAGATAAAGGATTATACTATATCCGTATTGTAGCACATTTTTAGACGACTTCATTATTTTTAAGATTTTGATGGTCAAACATCCACAAAATATTCGTTATGTTTGGACTACATTTTCTCGAAAATAAAGACATAATTTAAAATTCCGTTAGAATACGGAAATAGATTGAAGTTTTGTGATTACAGTGATATAGAATTTATATGGTTTGGTAACAAATTGCTCGCTTTTTTATGGCAATGCTGAAGCCCTGCAAACCTTAATCAAAGCACGTGTGTTTGGATGATTTAATCATCGATATCAAAAAATCTGTTACCAAAAAGTCGTTATCTGCTACAAAAATTAGGCAAAGACAACTAAGGACTGGCTTCCTCTCTCGATGGTAACGGTTTGTACTGTATGTACCTGTAAAAAGAGTCTTCTAGAGAGGGTCTGGGTCGGTTAAACGACGGTACTGAGCTCTGCTGAAAGATCTGAGGCCGCTGAGCCAGCAAGGGAGGTCGAGGATATGGAGTCTGAGGTCGGAATATCGGAGGTCTGGATTGTTGCTGGCCTGGAGGAAACTGTCCTCCAGGAACCTGAGTGGTAAACGGCTAAATTTAACGATGATTTTGCAGAAGAATATAGTACTTTTTGTAACGGGAGTACAACAGTAACAGTCGATAGATAATTTTGGATTGATAAAAAATAACTTTAAAAACAACTAAAATATGGACGATGGGTTCCTCGCTCTCTCCAATAATAGCTTCCATGGAATGGATTGAAACTTGTTTGAGACCCATGCCATTAGCTCTGCAGTCGTCAAACCTAAAATCTGGTTTCGATGTTGACGATACTTTCATAATCTGGAACGAAACCGATAGACAGTTGGACTCCTTTCTCAACCATCTCAATTCACAAAATGATTCCATCAAATTTACGATTGAAAAAGAGAAGGACTCCCGTCTGTCGTTTCTAGATGTCCTTGTTAGTAGAAATGGGGGAAAACCCACACACACGGGAGAATATTTAAGTTTTCAGTCAAACCTTTCTGAAGCAACTAAGAAAGGAATAATTAAAACTTTATGTCATCGAGCAAACACCATATATGCTAACCTAACCTAACCAAGCATCACTTAAAGTCGAATTAAATAATATTTAAATGGATTTGCTTCAGAATGGTTACTCTGAGAAGTCCATAGACAAAATTATATAAAATTGTAAGACTGACAGACTGACTCATTGGTTCATCGACTTGAGGAGGATGCTTTCTCTCTCTTTACAATTCCATAATATGTAAAAGGAAAGTTAGAAAAGATCAGGCGAATAGTCAAAAGTATAAAATTAAAACTGTCTTCAAATCTGGATCGACTCTAAGAAGTGTCCTAACACAAACAAGACCGGAGTCATCGAAACAAGAGAAAGAGTGTATTTATCAGGTACCTTGTGAATGCAGTGAGTCGTATATTCTTCTTCTTCTCAGCCATTACTCATCCACTGCAGAATGTAGGCCTCTCTCAGTTTCTTCCACTCGTTTCGATTCTGTGCCCTCCTCATCCAGTTCTTACCGGCTACGGTTTGGATATCATCAGTCCATCTTTTAGGAGGTCGGCCGACTGGGCGTTTTGCTAGGCGTGGCCTCCAGCAAAGAAGTCTTTTTGCCCATCTTTCCTCGGACTGTCTGGCCAAGTGTCCTGCGCAAGACCATTTAGAGTAGCTATCCTCTCTACGATGTCCGTTATCCTCGTCTGTCGGCGAATGTCTTCATTTCTAATGTGGTCGCGAAGACTGATACCCATCATGGCTCTTTCCATAGCTCTTTGGCTCCCTCGCAACCTGTTCACACTTCGTGCCGTCATCGTCATAGTCTCCAAACCATAGGTCATTACAGGCAAGAAGCATTTGTTGTAAACATCTCTTTTTAGACTATTTGGGATTTTGCTTTTGAATATAAAGTTAAGTTTACCAAAAGCTGCCCATCCGAGTTTGATCCTTCTAGAAATTTCGGTTGTTTGATTTTCCTTGTCGAGTTTTATGGCATGACCTAGATATATATACTCTTTAACGTTCTCAATCCTTTGTCCATTAACATTAACTTGCTCTTCATTTTCATTTAGGGTTTTAGTTTTAGACAAATTCATTTTTAAACCTACTTGCGCAGATGTGTGGTGAAGTTGTTCGAGCATTGTTTGAAGTTCTTCCAACGATGAGGCCAGGACAACGACATCATCAGCGAAGCGCAAGTGGTTAAGCATTCCGCCATCTACCTTAATATCCTTATTGTCCCAGTTCAGCTTCTTAAATACGTCCTCCAGGGCCAGTGTAGTCGTATATTGGAGTCGTATATTGGAGAGACTAAACGTCCTCTAAATGTACGACTCAGCGAGCACAAAAAAGATGTACAAAAAGGTGGAACAATGAAGTTAGGTATTGCGGACCATGTTTGGTCCAAACAGCATAATATAAAGTGGTGAGAAGCTCGGGTTGCCCACAGGGAACCTCATTGGAAAAGGCGTAAATTTAAGAAGCCGTTTTTATAGCAAGCAATAATAACATTTTTAGCAATCCTAGTACCGAAATACCTACGATATGACAACCACTGATAAAACGCTCCAATGCAAGCATTCTATGTGGACATCTTCACAATTGACTGCACCCTCAATAGTTTTAGGAATTAGTTTAGTTTACCACTTGACAACAGTCAGTGATCCTTCTGACCGAAACGTTGTGTTAATCAAAATAAATAAAGACAATGGAAGTCCAAAATCGTTTTATTTTCAATACTGAAACATTGTCTCAGATACTGGCTCTTGTCAAAGTCTTGAGACTGTACGATGAGTTATAACTCAAGAAAGGGGGACACAATAGATATATACAATAGATATACAATAGGTCGCGGTGATTAACCCTCCCCCACCCATACAATCTACAAGTCCTGCATGTAGTTGTATACCATCAAGACATAATATAAAGAAGATCTATCGACTGTTCTGATGTTCCGTTACAGAAGCAACTCCCACTAACCGGTCCTCCACGTGGCGGAGGGGTCCCTCCTGGACCTAGAGGAGGTCCTCTCTGGACGAACTGTGGTTGCTGGACGGGTTGCCTGACCACCTGTTGCTGCGGGGGTCTAGGCGGTAGAACCCCCGGACCGATAGATTGGGGTCCGCTGTTGACTGAGTACCCTTGATTGTACTGGTGGGGCGGTACCGTTCCTAACGATTGCGGGCCGCTGGAGGGGACGACATTAGGAAACGGCGGTCGGTAATTGAAATTTTGCCGGCTGTCTGTGCGAAGCAGGGGAGGTCTCGCTAAAAACGGCCCTGCGGGGGGATAGGAGGGTGCTGGCGGTATGTCTGTAGGTGGTTTGGGCGGTGGCTGTTTAGGAAAATTCGTTTCGTATTAGGTTTTGTATTAATATATGTGTTATAAACTAAAAATAAATAGACCTCAGTATCTACGAATATAAGTTATTTTTGAGTAGTGTATTTAAGATTTTTTTTGACCAAAAAATTATTACTAGTCAGGAACTTTCTTATCTTCCTTCCTTCTTAGACTGGACACACACGTCATTTTCGAATAGACACAAAGTCTATTCATTTTTAAGTCTACCGGGTGTTTCTCAAAAGTGGCTTTCTGTCGAATAAAGTAAAAAAATACCCAGGGTGCTATTTAAAAAACAAAAGTTGCAGTAATTTCCGGTGAAACAGGAAGTAACCGAAAACAATTGAATACGTCAATCAATCCTAATTTCTGTCATATTCTAACAGACCAAATCTCGATTTTTTTATCTGAAAAAATAAAAAAGTTACAGGGGGTGAGCATCCTTTGAGAAACACCCTGTATTGTGTCTGCATTACGTTAAGTAATTTTATAATATTACAAACATACTAGTATAACCAAACTAAAAAATCTTAGGCATAGCCCACACAGGAATACTATACAGGGTGTTTCAAAACAAATGCGAAAAACTTCAGGGGGTGATTTCTTGTTCAAAATAAAGGGTAGTTTGCTTTATAAACGTTGGTTCAAAAGTCAACAATTAGGAAGATATCGCGGTACAAAGATGGCGAAAAAATAATGTTTTTATTTTTTATCTTGAAAACGAAAAGAGATAGACTAATGAAATTTTATGGAAGCATTACTGTTATGAAAACACACTTTCTGGTAATTTTTTCACTTTTTTAAAATGAGTGGAAGGGGTTGAAATAAACTACCCCTATCATTCTTGTTAACGAAATTTAAAGAAAAATCTTATCAAACACATGCAGAAAAATTAATTTAGATAGTTCAGTTTGTTTAGAAACTTTTTTATCTCTTGTATTTTTTTGATAAAACTCACCGATTTGAAATTAAAAAATAAAATGTAAAGCATTGCATGTTAGGGCAAAAAACATTTTTAGATTAAGAATCTAGTTATAATAACGATAATAAATAATCATCTAGATAATAACGTATTTCAGTAGAGTAATGGTCAAATAAAATAATATTAGGAACATTCTAAAAAGTAACAGCGGCCGACTAGATTTTTTCCTAAAAAAATTACAGCAGCCCACTAGATTCTTTATCAGAAAATGTTTTTTGTCCTGACATGTAATGCTTTACATTTTATTTTTTAATTTCAAATCGGTGAGTTTTGTCAAAAAAATACGAGAGATAAAAAAGTTTCTAAGCAAACTAAACTATCCAAATTAATTTTTTTGCATGTGTTTGATAAGATTTTTCTTTAAATTTCGTTAACAAAAATGATAGGGGTAGTTTATTTCAACCCCTTCCACTCATTTTAAAAAAGTGAAAAAATTACCGGAAAGTGTGTTTTCATAACAGTAATGCTTCCATAAAATTTCATTAGTCTATCTCTTTTCGTTTTCAAGATAAAAAATAAAAACATTATTTTTCCGCCATTTTTGTACCGCGATATCTCCCTAATGGTTGACTTTTGACCCAACGTTTATGAAGCAAACTACCCTTTATTTTAAACAAGGAATCACCCCCTGAAGTTTTTCGCATTTGTTTTTAAACACCCTGTACATGAATAAAACTAGTATTCCTGTGTGGGCTATGCCTAAGATTTTTTAGTTTGGTTGTTTTTATTTCCCACAATAATGTCATCTTCATTGTCATGTCATACTAGTATAATCATAAATAATCTTTATGTCTAACGCCTCATATAGATACTATTTGAGGCGTTTTTAGTATTCTAGTAGATCTTCTGACTATATGATCTGGTATCCGGTCTGTAGTAAAACTACTAGATTATTATTTGTTTAAGTAAACTCTGAATAAACCATTTATTTAAAGAATTTAGAATAATTATATTTATAATTTGAAAAAGGCAGTTATAGCTAAGAACTCTGGCCTATATATAGAACTATTCATTAGTGCAAATGGATGATTTAGCATAGGTGTGGTTTAGCTACAAAATTATTAGAAACCCATTTGTTTCACAAAATTAAAATATCGATTTCCAATAAGCAATCTCCTTTACCCCGATTTTTCATAAAGCCCTATCTATTTCTGACATTGTATCTTTATTTGGATAATCGGCAATTCTTAAAAAGATCAGTCACTGACAATTCAAGAAGAGATTTTATTTCAAAATAAAAATGGATTTCTATCGTGTATTAGGTATTATCTAAAATAATCGAAAATGAACTATTTATTGTGTTTGTGAACTTTTAAAACTTTGAACTTAGGTTGATACAGCTTGTAGAGCTCATCTGAATTTAGATACAATATTCCTGAACATGTATCAGGGATATCACGTAGTATAATCAGTATATTTTCCGATTTCAATCTAAATTATTGATATCGTGACGTGGGGAATGGATTCGTTTCAAATATAACTGCGTTCTCGATAGCTACAGTCGATCGTGTTTATTTTTTCCTCCAAAACCCTCAAAAAAACTATAAATAAATAGTTTGTCTTCTCCGTGCCAACATCTACCAGGCATAAATCGCATAAAATATCTATCTCTATCTTCTACGAATCTAATATTAAGTATATATATTTTTTTACAAAAAAGAAATAATATACACTATACATTTGATGGTGTGAGTGTCCACACAATGAATCTTAATTATATAATTATTACAAATCCTTTATAAAATTATTGGAAATAGGTAGTATAGTGTGTCCAACGAGTCAGGGAATTGGAAATCTCTCATTGGAAAGACTATAAGTACTACCAATATAAATTCAAAATACACTCACCGGCAAAAAAAAACCGGCCACTAAAAACTAGTCCCACTTTCAAAGTTGGATTTCTCGCGAACCGCTCATTAGATTTTGATGATTTTTTTTTAGATTGTAAACTAATTCCTTCTTAACGGATGCTACGAGAGAAATGTTTATTCCGAATTTATTTTGAGTATATACAGGGCACAACAATAAGACGAAGTTTTTTGCCCGAACTTTGTAACACCCTGTAGGGTGCAGCAGCTGTAGTAGCTATTGCTAAATCAAGTCACATTGTGGCCTCATCTTTTGTGAGCATTTTGTTTTTTTAATCACGACATTATCTCTGTTTGTATTGGAGATACACTGCTTTAAAACGAACGTCTCGGAAAAATGTTTCACAGGCAAAACCGCGATTCATCCGTGAAAAGGACTTTAGTCCAATGTTCAATATCCCAATTTACATGTAAACGCGCAAACTGAAGACGTGCTCGCCGATGTCTTGGAAGTAGCTGGGGTCCTGTGGCAGGCCTCCTAGCAGACAAGCTGTTTTCTTTTAGTCTTCGTCGGATTGTTCTCTCTCTCACTTGAGTTCTACGCACGGCTTGTAGAAGATGTTGATTTTGAAACGCTGCAATTCTACGATTTCATGGAAGTAGCTGGGGTTCTGTGGCAGGCCTCCTAGCAGACAAGCTGTTTTCTTTTAGTCTTCGTCGGATTGTTCTCTCACTGATTTGAGTTCTACGCACGGCTTGTAGCAGATGTTTATTTTGAAACGCTGCAATTCTACGATTTCTTGGAAGTAGCTGGGGTCCTGTGGCAGGCCTCCTAGCAGACAAGCTGTTTTCTTTAGTCTTCGTCAGTTGTTCTCTCACTGACTTGAGTTCTACGAACGGCTTGTAGCAGATGTTGATTTTGAAACGCTGCAATTCTACGATTTCTTGGAAGTAGCTGGGGTCCTGTGGCAGGCCTCCTAGTAGACAAGCTGTTTTCTTTTAGTCTTCGTCGGATTGTTCTTGTTGACTCACTGATTTGAGTTCTACGCACGGCTTGTAGCAGATGTTTATTTTGAAACGCTGCAATTCTACGATTTCTTGGAAGTAGCTGGGGTCCTGTGGCAGGCCTCCTAGCAGACAAGCTGTTTTCTTTTAGTCTTCGTCGGATTGTTCTCTCACTGATTTCAGTTCTACGCACGGCTTGTAGCAGATGTTTATTTTGAAACGCTGCAATTCTACGATTTCTTGGAAGTAGCTGGGGTCCTGTGGCAGGCCTCCTAGCAGACAAGCTGTTTTCTTTTAGTCTTCGTCGGATTGTTCTCTCACTGACTTGAGTTCTACGCACGGCTTGTAGCAGATGTTGATTTTGAAACGCTGCAATTCTACGATTTCTTGGAAGTAGCTGGGGTCCTGTGGCAGGCCTCCTAGTAGACAAGCTGTTTTCTTTTAGTCTTCGTCGGATTGTTCTCTCACTGATTTGAGTTCTACGCACGGCTTGTAGCAGATGTTTATTTTGAAACGCTGCAATTCTACGATTTCTTGGAAGTAGCTGGGGTCCTGTGGCAGGCCTCCTAGCAGACAAGCTGTTTTCTTTTAGTCTTCGTCGGATTGTTCTCTCACTGATTTGAGTTCTACGCACGGCTTGTAGCAGATGTTTATTTTGAAACGCTGCAATTCTACGATTTCTTGGAAGTAGCTGGGGTCCTGTGGCAGGCCTCCTGGCAGACAAGCTGTTTTCTTTTAGTCTTCGTCGGATTGTTCTCTCACTGATTTGAGTTCTACGCACGGCTTGTAGCAGATGTTTATTTTGAAACGCTGCAATTCTACGATTTCTTGGAAGTAGCTGGGGTCCTGTGGCAGGCCTCCTAGCAGACAAGCTGTTTTCTTTTAGTCTTCGTCGGATTGTTCTCTCACTGACTTGAGTTCTACGCACGGCTTGTAGCAGATGTTGATTCTGAAACGCTGCAATTCTACGATTTCGTAAAGTATTCAGGACAATAAAGCGGTCGTCAATTGCATTTGTCTTCCGTTTTCTTCCTGAACCCACTCGCCTGGTGAAATTTCCCGTGAAACCTGGTGAAATATACCGATTCCAGGCATCCTGGATTGTTGTTCGTGGTATACCCGGGATATCGGACACATGACGTTGACTTCGGCCATCCTCAATTAAAGCCACAATACGAGCAACATCCGTCACAGATAATGGCATTTTTTAATTTGACAATGATGTCACTTTGATTATTTACACATAAAACTTTCTGCCTGCGAAGCATTTTTCCGAAACGTTCGTTTTAAAGCAGCGTATCTCCAATAGAAACAGAGATAATGTCGTGATTAAAAAAACAAAATGCTCACAAAAGATGAGGCTACAATATGATTTGATTTAGTAATAGCTACTACAGCTGCTGCGCCCTACAGGGTGTAACAAAGTTCAGGCAAAAATCTTCGTCTTATTGTTGTGCCCTGTATATGCTCAAAATAAATTCCGAATAAAATTTTCTGACGTAGCATCCGTTAAGAAGAAATTAATTTACAATTTAAAAAAAATCATCAAAATCTAATGTGTGAGGTTTTTTTTGCCGGTGGGTTTATATAATAACTTCAAAATTAGATTACACTAAAGTGATCTGAATCTTCTGAGTACAAAAATCTGTCTACTAGGTGCTTCTACAACGACTATTTCTTTGATCTTACCGCTTGTATTATACCATCGTCGATTTTTACAGAGTTGCCGTCTGTCGTAGGCCCGTTTGTCACGTTTTGTTGCGACATATTTAAGTGGACGTACTCTGACTGCAACGACATCTTATTTAGACGTATTTTTATTATTGTTACAACGAGATTCGCTCTTCTACACACTCGAGTGCATCAATACGGCAGTGGACAAATTATACAAGGGATGTTTGATAAGATTTTGACAGTGACACTTAGGGAACTTTTTTTTTATAATTGAAAGATAATTTGTATAAAGATGTCGACACGTTGATATCGTATAGAGACTTTAGCTGTCACATTAGTCCAAAGAAATGTCATTATGTCACTAATCAAATTTTATCAAATTATACCACGCTTTTACATTAAAAGTTTACTCATTGCGGTGCTGTGCAGTACTTGAGAAATTTAGGACCTCAACTTTCACCTGTTGAAAATTTCCGAAAAGATAGAGTAAAATCACATGGTACTCAGCTAACCATGACTCTGATTTCAAGATTTTTTTATACAGGGTGTCTCAAAACATTTACATATTTTTTTATATGGTCCGAAATCTCTATGCCAAATATTACTGCTACATGTTATCTAGCACACTTTTTTAACTTCTGTTTTAGTTTGTAATTTGAACGACAAAATCTACACACAATTTTTATTTTTTTTCAACCTACAGTAACGTCAAATATATTTTTAGTTGCAAATCATTGACAGTTTCATATATGGGTAACATTTAATTTGTATATCAACCCCTGGTTGAAGCATAGCAAAAAATGGATAAAGTACATTTGGTAGCTTTACACTGTCAATAATCTGTCAAGAGATAAAATATCTTACGAATAACATCTACCTATATCTAAAGCCACAAATATTTGTGATAAGTCTAAATACTTAAAGCTCTTAAATATTTTAACAACTTGTTCTGAAAGAAATACAGGGTGGATCGCAAAAGTGGTTCACCCTTATAACTTTTTTATTTATTCAGATAAAAAAAAACGAGATTCGGTATGGTTAGTATATGACATAAATTAAGATTGATTGATGTATTCAAATCTTTTCGGTCTCTTCCTGTTTCACCAAAAGTTGCTACAACTTTTGATTTTTAAAGGGTACCCTCGGCATTTTTTTACTTTATTCGATAGAAAATGACACTTTCAACTTTTGACATTTTCGAAATACCAAGTGTGTGGTAACAAATTATTGATAAAAAAATGCTTTTTCCAAATATGCTAATGCGAGCCACCCTCATTCCATTTGAAAAAATTGAGATATTATTAAAAATACGATTTGGGCATCTTTTAACCAGCCAAGACAAAACATTAGATAATCAAATCAATTTTTCCAAGGCTCCTTCATTAAAAATTAGTGTTTTTAACACAGCCATGGCACACTAGATTGAAATTTAAAATGCGATTTCTGATAATGTCAAAAGTTGACATATGATATGTCATTATATTCAGAGTGTCATTTTCTATCGAATAAAGTAAAAAAATACCGAGAGTGCCTTTTAAAACTCAAAAGCTGTAGTAATTTCCGGTGAAACAGGAAGTGACCGAAAACAATATTTGAATACGTCAATCAATCCTAATTTATGACATATACTAACATATATCTGAAAAAATAAAAAAGTTATTGGGGTGAGAGAATTTTTTTAAATTTTGTGATCAAATAAAATAATTGTAGTATCTATTATCACAAATTTATTATCTATTAAGTAATGTAATATTTTAGTAGTTTTAGATGGTAATAAAAAGATCCAAGTAATAAAATTTGATATTACGGTAATAAAACTAATAATAAAGCAAACTAAAATAAATATTGATAAAACAAAAGCGTAAAAAACATAATGAAGCGATTTTTTCAATCAAGGATGGAATTTTTTACCGATAAAAATATTTTTGTATTTCTATGGAAATATTGTAGTTGTATAAATAAACAAATTAATAGTGCACATATACCGTAAAAATAAAAAAAAACACCGTCAAGTAGGCTTGGAAATGACTTTGAATCTTCATTTCCAAGTCAACTATGACGCCCATTTTTTTCTATCATGATATATTACACGTACAGATTGACAATTTGAGAACATCTCTCATCAAACTAAAAATACTATAAGGTCTATCAGTTCTGTAAGAACGTTTTCTAACTGAAATAATAAAACCACATGAATTTGGTAATATGTACAGTACGTCTGTCCGTTCTGTAGCTACGGGGTATCCGTGAGAGGGGAAACGATATTCTCTCCATGTTTTTCGTAAAAAATTAGACGACACGTCTCATCAATAAAAATTCGACAAATTTGCAAGTAGCCAATAAAATAAGTGGGCGGAGCGATTTGCCGTGACGTACTCGTCAAGTCGACGTATAAAATATATTGTTGTTTATTTAAATGTTTTTTTGCCAACCGGACGCCGGTTTTTTTTCGATCATGCGATATATTGAAACCATTAATAAAGAGCTGTATGGAAGGTTCTGTCTTCAAGTTATTATACTTTTTGAAAAGGATTGGACTAGAGAATGTAACCTAGAGATCAGAGGAGAACCATAATAGATCTAAAAAGGTGACAGTGATATATGTGAGTATAGTGAGATTTGTATTCCAAATTGATACTCCCAATTGGTATTTTTCAAATTTTCACTCTGTATATTACTTTACGTGGCTATTACAAGCTTTTATAAGCACTATTATTTAACTCTATTAATAATAATTTTTTACAACAGAAAAAAATAATCACTGATGCTACAGACGATAATAATTTAAAAGACTTTTTCTTCTAGGTCTTCGTAAACTTCACTAGAAACTATTCATATTAAAGTTCCAATGTTATCAAATAAAACGGGACATAAAAAATCTCATTTAGAACGGAATCACCCGCATATAAACATATTTTTGTTCGTACTGTATGTAAAATATGCCGTAAACTGCGAGCACATTAGTCAGAAAACTATGCACAATACGTCATGACCCATAATATATTAAACTAAGGCCGAATACATATTCGTTTTGGTTTAGCCTTGTCCACACGAACGTTTAACGCTTGCGGACCCTCTTTTCCACGTCTAATGGCATTCTTCAACGTTATGACGCGAATTTAATTTCATATTTTCAATTTAAATATATTTCGTATGGATATTTTTGCAGAAAATTATTAATGTACAGGGTGGCGGTAAGAGATACAGGATCGGTTAAATGGAGGTAAAGATAAAATGCCGTATTGCATTTTTATTTTTTATTTTTTTTGCATAAAATATTCTGGTGATGGAATTTTCTGTACGAAACGTCGGCAAATATCAAATTGACAATATATAGTGTTGTTTTAAGAGTGATGAAAGGATTTAATTAAATTGAAAAAAAATCAGGTCCGTATTTAAAAAAAAATAAGTTGATGATGGTGGCCAGAAGCCGAAACGTCAGAGTCAATATTTAATCACACAGAGTTATAGAGCAGAAAGAGTGGCCATGAAAATGTGTTTTCCATTTTAAGTTATCTTAACAAATAAAGACAGGAGATAATAGAAAACAAAATTGAAAATTCCGTTTTTTTTTCGAATATATTCGGAAGTATTTGGAATTTTTCAAAATGCAATACGGCATTTTATTGAGCACCAAATTGCGCAACTTTGCCTCTATTTAACCGATGCTGTATCACTTACGGTTTCCAAAATCCCAATGATGAGCGTCGAATTCGAGCCACCCTGTATAGAGTGTCTCATCGGAAACTTTAATTTAATATCTAAAGGAGTCCCTCGTTTTATACGCGGTTTTATTAATTACATATTAGATAGGAAAGGTTTAGCTATACAGGGTCCGGCAATAGTGCGTCGGGCATCTGTACCCATATAACACAAAACAATCCTATAGAATCTTGAGGATATCCACCAAGGATATAGTAAATATCTTAGGGATATCCAAAAACCAGAGGAGGATATTTATGGGATATCCAGATGGGACAAAAAAAGTCATCTTCAAGACATCCCTAGGCAAGCCTTTTACGATTATTTGGGATATTTATAGGATAATACAAGGATGATGTTGGGAGCATTATAGAATATTTTTAGGACATTATATGAGGACTGTTATTTGACAATACTTTCTTCATTCTGAGTTTATAGTAAAAACGTTCCCGATTTAGTTTTATTTAGCCACATTTTGACGTTATTCATTGGATATTTTTATTAACAGCTCTAAAATATACCTACATATTATGTCAATGAATTTTGCGTCAAAATTTAGAAGTTTATTTGTATGAGTTAAGACCTTTCAATTTATACTGTACCATCGAAAAAAAAGGCGTCCAATTGGCTTGAAAATTACGATCGATGACATTCCCCATATAATTTTACATACAAAATAACAGCAATCTTCATTTCCAAGCTCCCTCCGACGCCGTTTTTTTCGATCGTTTGGTATTATACCAGATTATACTACCCTTTATGGAGTCTAGCAGTTTATGTCTAGCCAACAGCATAGAGCAACAGTTTACATCAAAGTTAGCACACAGTGGTACACGGGATACAGGTATAATTTCTAACACCACACATTCCAGAGACACAATTTAAACACAAAAATAGGATTTCTGTTCGAATAGATCAAACACGAAAATGGGTTTAGGGATGAACAAGCGCTTTTCAACAAATTTTCACCTATAATTTTGTCACAAATTTTTCATTGTGAAACCCTGAGTCGTTCGTCGTTTTTCGACATTAGTTGAGGTTAGGATAGAATTTCTGCTAGAACAAGGCTAGAACTATGAGTATAAGAAAAAACTAAGTCAAACTCAACCAGTTTTATTAGTTTCAGTCATTTTTAAGCCCATTCAATATCGACAAACGACCGAATTCACATCGAATTTCACTAAATCAAAGAACTGAATAATACACGATGCAAAAACAAACTGTCGAGCAGTGTTCCCAACTCTCAAAAATTTATCTCCCTAAAAATCTAAAATGCTCGCATCAAAAAACCTCAAAATATCCCTAAAAACCTAAAAAAATATCCCGAAAAAAACCCTAAAAATATAAATAGTAATAAATAAACAAAATAAATAAACAATTTGTTGTGTTTTAAGTGGTTGACCTTG